AGACTTCTGCACTTTGAGGGTACCCTGACACCGAGGATTACTTCCACTTCGCTTCACAGCTGCGTGGGTCTCACGGGGCCTCCAAACTTGGATGAATTCAGACTGTGGAATACAGGAATCCTGCGAAGTGTACAAAGAAAATCAAAATTTACTTCCAAAATGTTCTTTCTGTTCAATCCTTCCTTCTCCTTTCTTTGGTCACGATCATCCTAATTTTCACTAACACTTTACCCATATTAAATAATTCTGGCCTTTGGATTTGACCCGCCCCACTAACTCCATTGTAAATACTAATCAATTTAATATTTCCTTGTGAGAGTTGAGGATACAGCTGCCCTTATTAGCAAAGCTTCTTTCCTAAGCTCGGTGTTAGTCACAAAAGTTCTAAGAAATTCACATGCTTTTTTTTTTTTTTAATACCCAAGAGGTATAAGTGAAGAGGGTCAAACCTTCTTTAAACACAAGACAGAAGGAGCTGACACATGTCAGAGCATTGTTGGTCACCATGTCACCATTGGGCACTAACTCCCCATGGCCCAAAGATCTTTGTCTGTCCCTGTAGGTGTCATTGCTTCATCACATGGCAGTGTCTGTGTGTGCGTATCATCGGGTCACAATCATAAATTGAAAATAAACCCTACCATGGTAGAATCCTGAGTCAGGTTCTTGGTGGCTTTAACACTGGTCACATGGTGTGCCAGAGCCAGTTGTTCTGGCTCCAAAGCTGATTCTGACCATTTTTACCCATTTTCACTGCCGTTGTAGTTGCAGAGGAGCAGAATTCAGAGTTCTTTATTGTAATTTTTCCTTGATGGTCCATCTTATTCCTTACAGGCAGATCCCAGTATTGGAATTTGAAAAGTAGAACACTATATGAAGTGATGTATGTGTGCAATGCATATATGTACACATATGTATATATGTAAATATGCATACATGAATATATATGTGAGCTGTATATATTTATATGGCATATGATATATACACATATACTTGTACATATTCAAATTTATGTCAGAAATATGATTTAATTACTCCTGCAGTGAATGAAATGTTTCCCAGCACTTTGACCATGTCCACACAAAGTTTTCTGTAAGTATCTTAATTGGATAATGCTAGGTTTGAAATATGAAACTGCATGAGCCTCACAATTCACTGTCCTTTTCTGCTGTTAAAAGATACAAGCTGATTTTCATCCTTGAATTTTTTTATAGTATGGCACATTAAGTAGTTTGGTCTGAATTTGAACTGGTTTGGAATGTGTCTAGCAACATTTCTTCCCCTTAATCAATGTGGTCAATAAGTAATAAGTGTAACTATAATATTATTAGCTTATATTCCAGCACACATAAAAACAATTAACTATATAGATTGAAAAATGTAAAATACTTTAATATCTCTTAATAATCACACTGCAGCAATTAGCAAGTGAAATGTATAGAGTTAACTTAGAAGTAAATGCAAGTAGGTTTCTTTTGCAATCGACATAAGACTAGGCAAATTTTTATTCTTTCTTATTCGAACTGCTAGAACAAAACATTTGTGTTAGGCACACTTTTTTTTGTTGGTCATGGGGCCTGAACTCTGGGCCTGGGCACTGTCCCTCAGCTCTTCAGCTCAAGTCTAGCGCTCTACCACTTGAGCCATAGCACCACTTCGGGCTTTTTTTTCTGCTTATGTGGTGCTGAGGAATTGAACCCAGGACCTCATGCATGCAAGGCAAGCGCTCTACCACTGAGCTACCTTCCCAGCCCTAGGCACACTCTTAAGTCCTCCAATTTGCCTACTTATACTTTCCATAACTGAGAGAACAGGTATACAATACCACATCCAGCTCTTCATGGAGAAGAAATCTCATACACTTTTCTGCCTGGGTTGGCCTTAAACTGTGATCCTCCCAAGTGTCAGCCACCATTGCTGGCTTAGAAATGCATTTTTGATGCATTTTGATGTATATTAATATCGTATGTTGGCAACTTATACAACAACAAGGAAATAATTTCATTAAAGAGGCAAATTAAGGGAGCCAGGGTAGCCCAGGAAACCACATGACCCTGATGGTGTGCATCTGAGTCAAAGAATGCTTTCAGATAATTAGTCACGATGACTACCAGGGTTCTTCTCTAATCATTTCTCTCTCACTTTCCTTCTTCCCAAACACTCTTTCTTTAAGGAATTTGCATTAATAAGACCAAGTAAGGAGACATCCCAATAATCAATATCCTAGAAAATGTAGTGGCTGAAGTTGTTAGTCTAACTTTAACTGTCAACAGCAAAGAAACACTGTAAATCAGAGAGAATTTAGGAGCAAGTGACCTTGTCATTTTGAATTAATAATTCTATTTAAGACTAATTGCCATCTAAGTTGACATCTGTTATGTGTGTTTCAAGAGTGCAGAGAGGAATTGGCACAATGGAGCCAAGTGCAAAGGTATCTCAAGAGTTATGGGCATTCTGAATAAGAAAAAAAGAATGCTACAGTAAGCAGAATGCTTCACAGAAACTCAGACTTTAAAGGCTCTTAAACAAGAGTGGGAAAGGGGATTATAATGAGAATAACAGATTGTAAAAAGGATAATATAGAAGCAAGTAAAGGAAAAATTTTTTATTTCAAGTAGCTATGGGAAAGAGGAACCTAAGCAAAACAGGAAAATCAGAGTTAAAATGTATCTATTTTCTCAACATCTCTTAGTTGTAAGTGTCAAACACCCGAAGTATTTCTGCTCAAATATGATGGGTGGTTATTTACTCATAAAAATGAATTATCACAGTCTTAACAAAAAGATACATGAATGATAGCACAGAAAATCATAACATCTCTTCTCTTTCTCCTACCTCAGGATTGGTTTCATTTTTAAAAGTGCTTTTACTCATCAACAGCAACTATTACTAGAATCAAAAGACATCTCACAGCATGGTAGAAAATCTTTGCCAGCCAGTGAACTATATCCAGGATATACAAAGAGCTACAAAAACCAAACATCACATGGAAAAATAATCCAATTATTAAATGAATAAACAAACTAAACAGAAAGTTCTCGAAAGAAGACAAAAAACCAAAATAACAATGAATACATGAATAACTGGTCAGCATTCCTAGCCACATAGGAAATGCAAATGAAAGCTGCCTTAATAGCTCATCTCAACTCAGTCAGAATGGCAGCCACTAAGAAACCAAATAGCCAATACTGGAGAAAGATGAGCAGGGACAAGGGGCTAGAAATGTAAACCACAGCAGCCCCATTGAACATCAGTACAGTATATCCTTAAAATACTAAAAGCATATCTATCTTATTATACCACCATACCACACTACTCTTGGGCATATGAATTATTACACAAGAAAGATAACTGCATACTCATGATATTTATTGCTTCTCTATTTACTGTAGCCAAACTTGGGAATCTGCCAAGGAACTAACAACTAATAAGTAGATAATGAAAATATGCTGTCTACATATCAGTCATAAAGAAAAATGAACATATGTCATTTAAATAAAATAAATGGAAGATAATCACATTGATTGAGATAACCAAGCTTAAAGACCAACTATAACATGTTCTCTCTCATTTGTAAAACATAGGCATATAAAAAGGGAGATTATGATAATAATAATAACAATAATAATAATGGAACACGAATGTAAAGTGAGATTTTGCTGGGGAAAAGGGAAATCAGTAAGAGGGGGATCAAGAAAAGAATACTGAGTGAAGAGAAATGAGGTACTCTATGTGTGCATAGTGTATATGCACATACATGTGTGTATATACATGAGTGTATACATGTATATGGATACACACATAATGAAACCCAACACTGTTTTTAATAAAGGAGAGGAACAGAACACAAATATAGAGGAGGTGTTGAACTTGTTCAAAGGATATTATATGCAAATATATTATTATCATAATGAAATCCTTTGTGGTATTAATATATGCTAATTCATAAAAGAAAAAGGAAAAAAATGTTTACTCAATATTCCTCAGTGCTATTTCCCGGTGCTATTGCACCATTCCAAGATTTTATTATTCCTACTGCTCACTGACTAGGAGGGAGGTTTTCTTCACTCTCTACCCTTCTCTCCACTTGCCCACCCTGGAGAGAAGCTTTATGATTGGCTATCTATATGATTTATGGGCTCATTAGGAGATGGAAGAGTAGTTCTAGAAAGAGAAAATGGCTTCTGTAACCAAAGAAGAACTTGTCTGATGAGCACATGCCTTGGTTACTATCCAGAGAAATTTATTCAGCTCGCAATTTATATGTAGATGTGGCTCTCTGCCTTTCTCATGTGGATGGCTTCCAGTTCAAGAGGTCAAGTTCTGGGGGAAAGCCAGTCTTCAGCTGAGTGCTTGGAAATGTTAGATATTTTCAAGATGTGGGGGATATATGAAGTCAGCAGAACTGGTGATTATTATAACCAGGCCAAGGATAAACTGGAATCGTGTGGCACAAGTGAAATAGGATGTTGCCATGGATGTGAGTTGTGCTGTAGGATAATTAGTCTATGCAGAAACATCTCTAGGGACAATGAGTTCCTATTAAAAAGAATGTTGTCCTCTGTGTTCGTCACTGAAAGTTTTCCTTCTCTCTGCGCTTCATTAAACAAAAGTTTCTCAGTACAAAACAGAGGATCCCAGCCTTGTTTTGTATTATACAATTTTTGTTCCAGTAAAATTAGCAGGGGGGAGGGGGAAAGAATCACTTTTCTGCTGTATTTCAATTGCTTATAATAATCCTGTGCTTTGCATGGCTAAATAGACAGCACTAGTACTTCATATTTTTGATAGGGTTGTAAAATTATCATAAAAGATCAGAAATGGAACTAGCCCCTGATGCTTAAATGAAAAGTTTTTGTGTAATTAGGAAATTAGGAGGATATTATGTCATTTCAGAGCGTATTTTAGCCACTAATTATTTTCCTCCGGTAGTGGGGGAATTTTTTTTTTCTTCCAAAATGTGGTGTGATCATTTGTGTTCATTTTCCACCACTTTCCAGGTGTTTGGTGACATCAGTGCCTTGAAGATGGTCCCCAGTGAAGTGATCACAGCCATTGAGCAGTACCTGAGATAGATAATGTATAGAGAGAGTCCTCGGGCACTCACTCAAGAGAATCTGAAAGAGTCAATTGAAATTAGAAGGTGGGTAGATGCCCGTGTATCTACGAAATAGGAGCCACCAACTAGAACTTCCTTCTTGCTTTCCTTTTGCTCTATAATGGACACAAGTCACTGTGAGGAGACTAAATCCACCGTTACTTTGGTCATACAGGCCCCCTTCAGATGAGGAGGAAGAAAGAAAGAAAAAGGGTAAAGAGAAAATGCCATTGGGATTATACAAAGCACAAACAGTGGCTGGCTCCTTTATGGCCTGTGGAAGAGCTGGAGTCAATGCAACAAAAGCTTAACTCCATTCGAGCCTGGTTGTGAACACCACAGAACAAAAAGTATATACTTTGCAAACCAGTTTACTTGAGTGACAAGATTTTTATTACTATGATTTGAATTTTCCATCTTTTCCCTTTGAAATTCCTTCTAAGGAAAAACAATGAATTTTCCAGCTAGTGAAAGAGAGGAAAGGTTTTGTTTTGTTTTGTTTTTTTAAAGCCTGGTCATGTCATCTTCCAGCCATTATTCCACATATGTGAAAACAAAACATATAAACAATGACAAAAGCATTTCCCAGTAGAACATCCATCATCCTGGAAGAGAGAACTTTTAAAAATGAGTCCTTTTATAAACACAACTTAGAATAGTGCTAGGTACATTGGGAAAGCTCAATATTAATGCCTGTGGAGCCAGATACCTGTGGCTCATGCCTATCTATTCAGGAGGCTGAAGTCTGAGGACTAAGTTTCAGAGCCAGCAAATCTGTAAGCTCCTTATCTTCAAATAGTCAGGAGAAAGCCAGAGAGGTGTCTCAAGTGTCTCACGTGGCCATTTTCAGCCTTAGGTGAAAAAGCCAAATGAGAAATTGAGACTCTGAGTTCAAGCCCCCATACTGACACAAACACATTGTGTTGTAGTCTCATTTGTAGCATAAGGGAAGTCAAATAAACCAAAGTGATTCAGGCCAGATATATTACAATTCATTCAATGATAATCGTGTAGCAACACAAAATATCCTGAAAAGGAATAAAGTTATAGCAGTATGCAGATTTCTGCATTTTCAATCATATTTCATCTGATTATTAGGTCAAGTTTATTTGGTCAGAAAAGTGTGGTAAATTTTCCCAAAGACTCCATTTTCTTAACTGACTTAATTGAAGTACCTGCCAATTGTGTATCCTTAGCATGTCTCTTTATATTTCCTTCAGTAAAATTGAAGACCCATGAGGGATTGTTTTCTGTTTTACTTATTACTTTTCCAATTCTTAATAGTGTGTTTCAAACAAATATTTGCTCAGTAAGCTTTGTGTGGTACAGAATGAGTTGATACATCACATTTTAGTTAAATTTATGCTTAATGAGCTATATGAGATTGAATTGAAAGAGCAAAAAGATTATCAATTAATAAATTTTAATTTTTGTTTTTTCATGTTTCCTTTAGGAAATTGGTGGCCTCAATGGAAGAATGCACAAAATTAAAAAGGCCATTATTTTCCACCCCCTCAAGGATTCCCAGAGACACAACTGTATTTCTTAATCAAAGGCATATTCTAATACATAATTGCAAAACATGAGTGTTTCAAAGTCTAAGTTTGTGGAGTTTTTGTTGCTTGTGTTGCTTTATATTTGTTTCTTCTGTCACTCAGTTTATCTGAACTGAACATTAAAGAGTAAGCATTACAATTTGTCTAAAGCTGTTATAATGTGATATATTGGCACTGATAAGTATTGAGTGGAGATTTGCTAACAATTTTGTCGTGATTATTCACTTTTCATTACAAAGAACTTTTCTGATTTTCCTGGGCCCAGTGCTATAACCCAGAACAACTCTGAAATAAGATTGTGGAAATTTATAGATCTGAATCCAGTAAGCACTACACTTTAATCAGCACTTAGAAAATTAATTTAACTTATCTCCATATCTTTGAGTTTATTTCTCTCACTCTCTCTCACTCTCTCTCTCATTTATATGTACATCTATAAAATTTTGCCTTGTAAATGTTGAATATTTATATGTGGTCAAATTCTTAAAAAAAGTAAAGAAGGAAAGACAAGATGAGTTGGTATTCTTATAATCAGTCCCTTCTTAGGCACTGCAAATAATAATCTCTTGTCATAGAGACAGCAGTGCAATCTTTATAAGCATAGTCTGCATTGAAGTACATTCTAACATCACAAGCTCTTGAATCATGTCCCTTTAGGAAAGAGTATGCATTTTTGTACCCAGCACAAAATATTATTACAAGACTCAGAATATATTTCTGGGGGGTTATAAATATGAAAATTTAGTCTATATTTTTCAGACTATTTGGGGGTATTTATGATGCTAGTAATTATTATTTTTTAATGTATAAGTTCTTGCACATTTTTCAGTGATTTCATTAGTAACTCCATCTCAGTGCTGTGCTTACTAATTGGTGTTTCATTCTCTTTGATACTTTTTCTCATGCAATTATAACATATAATATATGATAACTAAATGTGATCATAAATCAGAACTATGAATAAAAATATTTCTTATAATTTTTGCTAGTTCTTACTGTGTTTCTATTGCCTAAGTGGGTGATTCATTTGGAGATACAGTTTCTGTAAGAGAAACATATACATAAGGAGGTAAGAATTTTTAGATGCTTGCCATCAATATACCAGTGAAATCTACAAAGGTTCCTTGTATTAAATTTGGAGACAATAGATGCTACTGAGTGTCAGTTAATCAAAGGGATGACAAATGATTTTCTTCCTTCAGTTAAATACAGTGGTCAGTGGAATGCACCAGCATTGGAAGAAAATTACTCATCATTTCAATAATCACAGCATGAAAGCAATGCAGCCCCACTCTCCCTCACTCCTTAGTTTTATTAAATAAATCATCTGATAATGTCTGGATACAGAGAAGGAAGGCCTCGATGAGATCATGGTGCTCCTATTTTACAAGTGCTTTTAAAGATGTTCTCAAAATGGCATTTTCTATTTGTCTTCATCATTAAAGTTCACACATTTCAGAATTATATGTCATCTGTTATCATCTAAGTGAAGCACAAGTGCCCTCCTCTACTACACTACCTGCACATGGTCATTTAAGGGATTTCTATACACCCTATGCATGGGAAGAGTTCAAAACTCTTGCAGTTAGAAAATCCTTCACAGAGTTTGCAGGTCCAGGTAAGATGCTGTTTACAATAGCAATGGAGAGCTATGGCAAATGGTCTATCCTAACTCAATGTTTACTGAATGAGTAGCACAAAATAAAGTTGGTCTCTCTTTTAAAACTCTGGTTTCCCTTATTTGCAATAACTATGTCTAGGACAAACCAAACAGGTCAAAAGCTATGTACATATGACCAGATAAGATGATGTTAACAGAAATGAACCCCAAGATAGGGACACAAGTGGTTTTTTCTTTCTTGCTATTGTTTCTAACATATTTATAATGTTCCATGTGATTTTTTTTTGTTTCTTTGTATATCCCTCCCCCCATGGGATAACCCCTGTTTTCACTGTATTTGATATCGGTCTAATTTGGGGAGGGGAAGGGAAAAAACAAAATGTTTAAAAGGGTACAGGTTGACACATTGTAACAATGAGATGAACAAGACACTATGTTGGAAAACAAACTTTACAATTTAGGCCTGGGGGAGCAGGGGGAAGTGTAGTATGGAGATGGGAGGGAAGAGATGGTAGGGGAAAACAAAGGCAGAGGCAACAATGCTTGATAAGCAATGTACTCATTACCTTGCTCATGTAACTGTGACCCCTCTGTACAGTATTTTTACAATAAAAAACTTATAAAAATAAAAAACTAAATACTTTATTTATATATTTATATTTTATATTTATTTACTTATTTATGTTCTCTCTATTTATATCTGACATGGATTTTTTTGTGGGGGGTAGTACTGTAGGATCGGAAGAGGTTGGAAGAGCCCCTGTTCTAGATTGTACTTTAAGTACAATTTTAAGTACTTTAAGTACAACTTCTAGGGTTCCAGGAGAGTTCCTTTGCCCCCTCATGAATCCCACCAATACCAGCCATGTTTCAAGTAGGCTCAAATATAGCTACTATACAGCAAGTCACTATTCTTATTACAGGAATATGGGATCTGTTTGTTAGAAGGAGGATCTACTTAACTTTAGGGATTTTTTTTCCTTACACCTACAAGGTTAGAGGCCTTTCTCTTGTGGATTTTCCTTGATCTGCTGAGACCCTAGAAGAAGCAGAAAGTCTTTACTAAGTTAGTATACATTTTTTAAAGAATAACCTTTATAAGATCTGGGCCAAAATAAAGGTTTATTAATGATATAAATGAATGAATGAGTGTATGAATAAATGAGAGAAATAGCACAGCCTGTTGGTGAAGAGCAAGAGCTCTAGAGTTAAATCTGGGGCCTAATTCTCCTGTCTCGCCTCTTCCTAACTAAGTTTCTTATTCAGTCTTGGAGGTGTCAAGTACGCTTAGCTACTTCATCAGTGTTAATAGCTATCTATGTGGAGTTTAAGATTGCACAATTTGAGAGGACACCTAATGTATCTGAATATCTGGGACACTGTCTCCACAGTACTCCTTGAGAGATGCTACCTCACTTTGGGTATCCTTTTGTTCTAGACAACTACATTGAATGTGAGGGAGCCAAATCTCAGCTACAAACTAACTTCAGTTACCTACTACTCCAATTAATCTTTCAAGTAAGGGATATTAATAATGAAATGTTTTTGTACTAAAAGGTAAATTATTTGTTAGAAATGCAATTTCTATTTAATAAAAAGTTATTTTTCTACTGGAACTTTTGATTATTGATTTATGATAACACTTTGTATATGAAGCTTAGTAAAGTCTTTATAGGTTGTATTTGTTACCAAATTATGCCAGTGTTGTCTTAAATATCTTATCATACATCGGTTCTATGTGTTGGATAGTTGCATATGTGGCATTTTTAAATTTTCTGAAAGTAGTGTACTAGATAATTT